AGGTGCGTGGTCCCCAGGCTTCGTGGGTTGTAGGCTGAAGCTGCAGCATGTCCTGTGAACAGATGCCAGAAAAAAACTGAAGGTTTTTTTCTTTTTTTCAAAAAGCACCATCACGTTCCCGTCTGCGCTTCTCATATTTTCATAGCAATCGCAATGTCTGCTCCCTGTTTTCAAACCGTTGTATTCTGCTGCTCTTCAAGTGCTGCGTGGCTGATGCGAGCCTGGTTGCTGGAAGGCAGCCGCTTCTGCGGAGGAACCCAGCAGCCTGGGGCGGGAAGGATGGCTGCTGCCCGCGATAGCCCTCCGGCAGAGACCGCCGCTGGTGACCCGAGCGGGGACACCCAGCAGCTCCGGCTGCGGCCTCTGCCTGCTTCCTCACTTTGGGTCGATGGCTGCCTCTGTGCAACCTCAGCTTTCCCCTCGCTAAACCAGGGTGAATGACGTGGAAAGCCCTCTCCAAAGCCCAGAGCCAGGGTTGCTCTGCGGCCCTGGGAGGTGCAGGTGGGGGTCCGGGTGGAGCGATGGGGAGGGCTGCTGAGGTGCAGGTGACTGCTGGCGCTAATCCTATGCAGGGGATTTATCTGGAAGGAGCCGAAGGAAGCGTAGCAAGGATGTCTCAGCTATTCAAGTGAGAAATCAAATTAAACTTTGCATCAAATGGTGGGGCTGCTCTACGCTAGGAGTTATGTCAAATTCATTAAAGGTTTCTACATGCCAAGCTCCAGGAGTTAGTGGAGAGAAAAACCAGTGCTCCGTGTCGGGGGGCCTGTGTCTGCCTGCTCACCTGGATGTGATAATGGTGTGGGCAGAGGGGGTTATCGCTTTCACCTTCAAGGGACCTGTGTGTGGAGCAGGCGGGGGGATGCTGGTTCCACAGCGATGCCAGTCCTGTGTGCCACTGACAGCACGCTGGGGTGCGTGTCCGTCAGGGATGCCGGGGGAGGACTGGGGACAAAAGCCCCAGCAAGCTGGAGGTGTGGAAAACACCCTCGTCCCAGTTGCCTGTCTCCTCATCTCCCACTAGCAGGCTGGGACATGGACCCCGTTAGGAACCCTGAGGTGTCTGGGAGGCGGATGGGAGTCATCTGAAGAGGAAGACAATATCAGTATCGCACAGAAGGATGTGTTCAGACTTGTTCCTTATCGGGCACAAGTCCACGCTTGCTCCAGGCGAGGAAAAGATCTGGATGAGGCATTGCTCCCTCGGCGGGGACAGATTGCTCGGAGGCTGGATGGAGCGCAGGCTTGGCATGAGAGAGGGAGCTCCAGCGTGGTGGCAGGGGAGTCGTCTGCCTGGAGCTTGTGATGCCATGGGAGCCTGGCTGCGAAATGATTTCCCCACACGGCACACCGGAGGCTCTGAGCTCCCAGGCGACCAAAGCACGTCCAGCTCCTCCTCACCAGGGTGGTGGGGCATGCCAAAGAGCTGGCAGCTGTCGGGAGGAGGAGGAGAAGAACACTGAGCTTCATCTACTGCAAATGCTGAATGCCAGAGTTTTCTCTGGCTCCTGTTCTGAGGCCTAGGCTTGACTAATTCCATCTGATTTTTTTTTTTTTCCCCCATCCCTGATGCATGTTGGTGCCTTGCCGTAGAAGCGTTCAAGCGCTAGCTTGCTGTTTAAAAGCCGTTTGCAACACTGCGGCTTTGCTGGCAGGATAAATTCGTCTGTCCCCGGGAGGTCGGTGTCCTGGTGCTGGAGCAGGGCAACCTGATCACAGACGGGGCTGAGTCTCCTCGGGTGTCCTGCCTACTGCTAGGTCTGGGTTGGGGCTCTCCAGCCAAGACAATGTCTTTCCTCCCTCCTTTTCTGTTGACTTGTAAGAATTTTTAGGAATTTAAGACACTAAACATCAATTAGGCAACACTTATAAATTTCTGAGATGTAATTTATTTAGTGAGTATTCACATTCACAGCAGCAAGTGCCGTTAATTGCTGTAGTTTGCTTTCCAGCCTAGGATTTGAGAGGCTTGAAGAGCCCATGAACAGGGCTGGCTCTGCGGAGATCCTGCCGCGCGGGATACGAGGGGCTCGTTACCCGTGGGCCTGTCCCCTCTTCATGGTTGTATTAACCCAACCGTCCCGCGGTGCCTTTTGCTGTCCCTGCTCTTTGGCTTGGCTCGTTTGCTCCCGGCGT